GTGATTGTTGTAAGGTCTTGCCTTTTTTTTCAATTTTCCACTTTACAATCAGATCTTTGTTATTTTTTATTTTAAATTATGCATGCATGTTTAGCTAGTTTGGTAGAGTACCTAAGATTTAGTAGCTTAAATGATGACCTATGATTGCACCATCTACATTTGAAAGTACTTTCTGTACATCCTAGGTATGTTTTATTTTGCCATTAGTATCTGTTACTTCTGCTTTATAAAGTATAGCTTCTGTTTTACAAGTTCCATTTAATGGACATCTATTCTTATTCTTCAGAATTACATAAGATATTCAATAAAAACACAGTCAATTTAAACAACTTATTCTTCTTCTTCTTCTTGACCAATTTTAGTGATTAAAAAAATAATTCCAATCAATTCCACAGGCATTTAAAAAATTTGTTGGAATTGATATATTTTTAATTATTGATTCTAACATTAAATAAAATGTTCTTTATATTAGGTTTTTATTATTTTAAGATAAAAATGGGACTCAAAAAAAGATGTGTGCAATTTATTGAGAAAGTGCTATGAAAGCTCAAATATGTGGTTTGTGAAGTTTTGTATTTCAGATGTTTTGCTGAACAATCAGACTGAAAAGCTGAGGTTGATAGCAATCAAATCAAGTTGTTACATAAGAATAATCAATGTTATGCAATACTGGATATTGCCAATAGATTGAAAATATCTGTTTATATTTCTGAGATGAGTTATTATAATTATTTATACTATTTACATTGTTCGGTTGTTCAGACTGTTGCCTTCATCTTCGTTGCCATATTCACAATGTTTCGGCTGTTGTATGCTCCTGCCTTCTTTAGACGATTGGCTGGAATGTACAACAGGTGAAATGTTGTGAATATGGCAGCAAAGATGAGGAAAACAGTCTGAACAATGTAAATAGTGTAAATAGATTGAAAATATTTCAATTAAGTATTGAAAATCATTTACACCAGTTTGGTTATGTTAGACCTTTTGATGTATGGCTTCCACATAAACAAAACTATCTACTTGATTGTATTTAAATATTTTTATTTGAACAAATTGTAGTATGGCATACACATATACAGGGTGTGATAGGTAAATTGTCACCATTTCATATTTTTAATTTTGTGTCTGCGTGTTGTTTGTTTTTTATTTTGTTGACTGCACAGTATCGTCGGGTCAGCTGGGCACCACCTGTGAGAAAAAGAGCACCATGATGCAATTCACTCCACCAGAAATTTGGAAATGGCATGCTGCATTGCTTGGCATTCATGCCGGAAGCTCCAATACAACCATCTGAGGACAGTGCAGAGGATTCAGAAAGAGTTGAATGCATCTAATTGTGATTATGAAGGTACCTGGAGTGATCACTTGTGACGGCGACGATTTGATTCCATTCATCTTCCCACAGGGACTCAAGCTCAATGCAGAAGCTTACATCAAGTGCCTTTAGGAGGTATTGCTGCCCTGGATCAAGAGCGTGGCTGCTGGAAGATCCTATGTCTGACAACAGGACTCTGCACCATGCGACACAAGCAGGAGACCCAGTCATAGCTGTCAAACAATTTCTCTGACTACATCACCCCTTACATCTGATCACCTAACTCTCCAGACTGTAAGCCCTCTTGGTTATTATGTGTAGGGTGCCGTTTTGCAAGAGACCAACAAAACTCCTTGTAACACTAAAGATGAACTGAAGGCAAGGATTATGGCAACATTCACCAATTTAAACAAGGAGACTGTCCAGAAGAATTGCAGGAGATTCTGAAGTTCTCTAGAGGTCGTGGTTGAGGCCAGTGGCAATTTTATTGAATAAATTTACTCTTTTAATATTTCAAGATACTTTTGTATAATTTTGGTAATTATATCTGTTAAAATGAGATATCAGTGTTATTTTCATTTTTGCATATTTTATACAACAATTCATCCATTACTCCCCCTATATTTATAGAATGTATGATAGTATCTGAAACAAAAGTAAAGATGACTTTATAGTTTTTCCATTTTGTATCATCATCTCCACTTTTGATTCAGATACTATTATTCTGACATTGGCAAAACATGTCGTCTATAACTTTTCTACTTTGACTTATCATATATATATATATATATATATATATATATATATAAATAGATAGATAGATAGATAGATAGATAAATGACTAAAGAAGTGGCCAAAAGGGCTTTAATATTTATTTATTTTAATATTTTATTTAAATTATAATTTTATTTTTTAACTTTAGATTTAATATTTAAGACTTTTATTTAACAATTAAGTTATACTTGTTTTTAATAGTTAATTGTATTGATATCAATTTATTTTATATCTAATAATTAATTTATACTTATATTTATTAAATGGTTTATATTTTTAATTTATATTTAATAATTAATATATATTTCAGTTATATATTGTTGTAAATTTATTTATTAGTTTAAGAAAATTTAATAAAAATATTATATATTAAATATAAATTAATCAGTAAAAAAATATTTTTACTGATTAATTTATATTTAATATATAATATTTTTTATTAAAATTCTTAATAACTTGTCTTTAATAATTATTTCATTAACTATTATTTTAATTATCATATTTATGTATTATTATTATTCATCCTTAAAAGTTTTATTAAAGAATAATTATAAAAATCTTTCTGATTTTTAAATTTTGAATTTTCTTTGTGTAATTTTCCTTATTGAAACTAGAGGTTAATATAGGTCAATGTTATTTTAACTTGTGGCTGAATCCTACCCCCTCACCACCACTACCATGAAACTGTTTTTAAACTTTGTCTATATGATTTGCTGTGTCTTCAGTTATATTATTCTTTCTGTTATTTCTCTCTTTCTTGTTTTTTTTTTATTTTTATTTTCATCTTTCCCTTTCTCCTTCTTTCTTGATTCTTTAAAGTTAAAAATTTTTAAGCTACCTTTTTTATTTCATTTCCGAACCCCTTGGTTTTGACAAATCCTGCAAGGTAATTCTTGTGGGGTGATATAGCTATACAAATGGGGTATTTTTGAATTTCTATTGTATTATATATATATATATATATATATATTATAAATTAATTGATTTAAAATATGTTTTTTTCCGCTACACAGTTCTAACCATGTTTCAAAAATAGAAGCTAAAAGCCCCGAATTTAATTTTGCAATTAAATTAAAAGCATTAGTTCCATTTCATCCTCAAGCGAATTTTGGAGTAACTTTTAAAAATTACTGGGTTTTAAAGACACAGCTAAAATCACGTTTCCATGGTTACAGAATATTCTATTCAAGTAGAATATTCTGTAACCATGGAAATTTACATTGAGCACTATTTTGTAAAAATAAAAATATCTATAAGAACACTGGATTATATATCTTACTGTTCTTTCTTTTTATTTATATATGCATATATATATATTATATATGAATGTAAATAAAGACAAAAGGAAAACTTTTCTTTACCAATGCATTTCATCTTCTAATGGACTTTATCAGAGGACAAAACACATTGGTAAAGAAAAGTTTTGTCTTTATTCATACTGTCTTTTTACAGATATATTTTTATCTATATCTGAATTTTTACACACACACATATATGTATGACAATTTAGAAAAATTTCTATATTTCTCATAGTTTTAAACTAGGAAACACTTGTTTTAAGGTGAATTTTTATTCAGATCAAGATAAAATGAATTTGCTATAATCTATGAGCCTCTTTGGATTATTATCAGACTAGTTTATCTTACTAAAATAAATTAATACTAAAACAACATAAAATACTATAATCTTGAAAAGAAAAAGATAAATATCAAAATTGAGTTGAAATTATTTACTTTATTGCATTTAATTGATTTTAATTTTATATTCACTTTTTAATTATTTTACATTACTTTATAATTTTTTTATACAACAGAAGGATTTGGAAGTAATCAAAAAGAAAGTGAAAATTGCTTAAATAAAAAAAAATCTTTCCCCAATTAGGTATGGTCAGCATCTATCGAAATTCTTTACCGTTTTTTTCCCCACAAGCCAAAATAAAGAGAATGATAACAAGAAATTTTAATTTTCTTGTGCATTTTTTCCTCTTGTAGCACTTTTTAACTAGTTCTTTGTGTTATAAATTAAAGTTATTGAACTCATTCATTTTTCGTAATATGTTATTGTTACTTATCGAATGAGAATTTCAAATATAGATTTTTTAAGGTAGGATCCTTCCTATTTAAAACAGTGACGCAATACAATCTTCCTATCGTCATTATGATTATTATTCACTCACTCCTTTGGCTTTGTCGCGCAGACGTTAGTGAGAGTTTTAAATTTTATGCTGAGTAAATAAACAAGAATTTTATCCAGGTTTTCGATTGAGCTTTCAAGTTTAATAATGAAACCCTTTTGCTTCTATGGGTTTCATTAAAAAAAAACAATTATTCTTTAACGGAGCGAATGAAGGGAGGTAATTCCATTGTTTTAATTCGTTACGAAACGTGATATTGTTTTTCATATTTTAAATGAGTTTAATTAAGATGAGCATAAAGAACAGAAATATTTCCTTTCACAATAGTTTGGTTTTTAAAATTATTATGCATACGTAACTATACATTATGTAATCAGAATTTATATTATGTATGTAAACAAAAACAATTGAATTGAGTCTGCAATGAATGACACAGACAAACAAAACAAAATAATTTTAACGACTAAATTACTCAAATTAACATTTATATTTGAACTGCAGTTATTTTGAGGGGAATGAATTTATTTTAATAATAGCAGATGATGAAATTTGCTTAGTTTCATTATTTATAATGAAATAATATTCATTTAAAACTCGATTTGAAATTGTAAAAGTCTTGGGTTCGAGATTAGACGGAAGTAAAATTAATGATATGCAAACAGGAAGTTAGTGGCAGCCATATTGAGTTTATAGCACAAGTCTCAACGTGAGTCTTGTGTTTTTATCGCTCTGTTTATTTTAATCCCATTACATAATTTTATTTTTATTTGAAAAGTTATGGGAGTCCCTGCCTTCTTCCGATGGCTAAGCCGCAAGTATACATCAATTATTGTTCACTGTGTGGAAGAAAAAGGCAAAGAAATTGATGGAGTTGTAGCCCCGAATGATACAAGCCAGAAAAACCCTAACGATGTTGAATTCGACAACTTGTACCTTGATATGAATGGTATTATCCACCCGTGTTGCCATCCGGAGAACAAGCCAGCGCCCCAAAATGAGGATGAAATGATGGTCGACATTTTCGCCTACATTGATAGAATTTTTAACATCTGCAGGCCTCGTAAATTACTCTATATGGCGATCGACGGTGTGGCCCCACGTGCCAAAATGAACCAGCAACGATCGAGACGGTTTCGAGCTTCGAAGGAGTCAGTCGAGACTTCAAATGAAAAATCTCGAATCAGAGAAGAGATGTTGTCTAAGGGTTACCACTTACCCCCTGAGAAACCGAAGGAGAGCAAATTTGACAGCAACTGCATTACCCCAGGTACACCATTTATGTTTCGCCTTGCTGAATGTTTGCGTTTTTATATTCATGATCGCTTGAACAACGATCCAGGCTGGGCCAACATTAAAGTTATTCTTTCAGATGCTAATGTCCCCGGTGAAGGCGAACACAAAATAATGGATTACATTCGTCGACAGCGGGCACAGCCTGACCACGACCCTAATACACATCATTGTTTGTGTGGAGCTGATGCTGATTTGATTATGTTAGGTTTAGCTACGCACGAACCAAATTTTACTATTATCAGAGAGGAGTTCAAACCGAACCAGCCAAAACCCTGCGAGATGTGTGCCCAGTTGGGTCACGAGATGAAGGAGTGTACAGGTCTACCAAAAGAAGAATGTGACAAACCTCTTGAAAAGTTGATGGGCGCTGAACAGGAGTTTATCTTTATTCGCTTGCCTGTCCTCAGGGAGCACTTACAACAGCAGCTCCGCATGGACGGTCTCCCGTTCGAGTACAATTTCGAGCGTGCCTTAGACGACTGGGTGTTTATGTGTTTCTTTGTAGGAAATGATTTCTTGCCCCATCTACCGTCTCTTGAAATTCGAGAGGGTGCTATCGACCGGCTGGTAAATATTTACAAGCAGTGTGTATACAAAACGGGAGGTTACCTCACCGATAGCGGAGTGGTGAATCTCAGTAGAGTGCAGTACGTCATGTCAGAATTGGGTAAAGTTGAGGATGAAATTTTCAAGACTCGTCGAATTAAAGATTTGGAGTTTCGTCGCCGTGACAAGGAACGTAACAAAAGATTAAAAAACGATGATAAACCCAAGTGGATGCTTGCTGGACAGTACAATCCAGCGCCAGTTAACAGTGGTTCGAATCCAATACATAATCCTCGTCAAACGGCTGCTGATATGCGTAGACAGATACATAGCCCTCACCAGAATCAGTCGTACGCAAATTCTGCCAACGTCTCCTCGAAAATGATGCATAACCCTGATGCCAAACGTAAATTCTATAACAACGAGGATGACGACGAGGATGAACCCGAAGACGATGTTAAGTTATGGGAAGATGGTTGGAAGGATCGATACTACAAATCTAAATTTAACGTTGACAATAATGACATCAAATTTCGTCATCAGGTGGCCAACCATTATGTGCGTGGCCTTTGTTGGGTGCTGCGGTATTATTACCAAGGGTGTGCTAGTTGGAAATGGTATTTCCCTTACCACTACGCTCCATTCGCTTCAGATTTCATGAATATTGGAGACCTATCTAACGAATTTGAAAAACATACCCAACCTTTCAAACCCCTTGAACAACTGATGGGTGTTTTCCCGGCCGCAAGTCGACAATTCCTGCCCCCAACCTGGCAGCGTCTCATGATCGATGATGACTCACCTATCATTGATTTTTACCCCATAGACTTTAAAATAGACCTCAATGGTAAAAAATATGCTTGGCAAGGTGTTGCCCTTCTCCCATTTGTTGATGAAATTCGTCTGAAGGCAGCCTTAGGTACAGTTTATGATGACCTCACTGAAGAAGAAAAGTTTCGAAACATCAGAGGTAATGACAGACTTTTTGTTAGTAGTAAGCACCCAATGCAAAGTTTTCTGGACAGTCTTTACGAGGGCAGCCAGACTGACCGAAAAGTCCAACTAAACACCAAGCTTTCTCAAGGTATGGGAGGTGCTGTATGGTGTGATGAGATAGCAGTACTTCCTGGTCACACTGTCTTCTCGCCTTTGCCTCAGTTAAAAGACTTAAACAACAATCAAGCGATCAGCGTTTACTTCAAAGACCCAACCTTCAGTGAAGACTTTCTCTTCCCAGCCAAGATTTTACCAAATGCCAAATTTCCTCCTCCATCTATAAAGCCGGATTCCTACAGGGATTATGGCAATAACAGATATCGGCCCCAGTTGGGCTTTCAAAGAGACAGTGGATACCGTGACAACAAGGATGTTGATGCAATGGTGCGTATGATTCGTCACCACACAAGCTCCTACAACCAGCAAACTCCTTATAATGATGGCAGAGGCCGTAACCCAGGTGTTATGATACCACCCACAGCAGAGACATATGGATCTGCAAGAGGAGGTTACATGGGAAGGTCCGGTGGAAATTGGCATGGGGGAGCTGGTGGTAGTGGTAATTTTGGTAAGGGTAATTACTATGGAGGTGGTAATCGTGGTGGAGGTAGTAATACTAATTATGGTAGTAACCGTGGAGGTTGGGGAAGCAATCGTGGTGGTTACAATAACCCAAATGACCCCTATAAAAGAAATCGTCAAGGGGGTAACCAGTGGGAAGGTGGTAACAATTGGAACTCTGGTTACAGATCCCGCGGTGGCGGTGGTGGTGGTGGTGGTAACCAGTATCACAGAGGTTACTACTGAACTGAAACTTTTCTTTGATGTTTGCCTCCTGTACAGAATATATTCAATTTTCAATCTGTAACAGTGACATTTGGAGAAAAAAAAGAATCCATGAAAGAAGAAAAAAAAAAAATCAAATTCATTCATTGAAGCATTTATTCTTCTCCCTCCTTCAATATTGACTGCCCCAAAACAAATGTTTAATCATTTTGTAAATCATTCAGTAATCCCATGATAAATTTTATTCAGATTCATTCTATTTTGTTGTCATTTATTTTTGTGATTTTTATTTTCTTATATAAGCAAATAAAATTAAATGTTCACTTACCTGTCCCTTGCATCCATCCCTTAGATGACTGGTGAATGAATGTAAGTGATAATTTAATTTTATTTGTTAGTATTGCTCCATCTCTTGATATTGAGCACTTTAATTACCAAGACTGCTTGCCTGAAAAATGTTATCTTCTAGAAATATACTAAATGACCTCTCTCTCTCTTTTTTTTTTTTTTTTACTAGACACAATCTTTATTATGTTATATGTACATGTAAATAGCAGAATGGTTATTGATGTAGAAAGTGAAATTAAGTGCCAAGTTCAAAATCTGACTGAATTCATTTAATTCACTTTGCACTAATGTTTTTTTTTTTTTTTTTTGAAAAGGCATGAATTCATCTCCTCAGTTATCAGTTAAATAGAACTCTCTTACTGAGAATGGCAGTCTAGGTGAAGGAAAACTCGAATCTCCACTGTCTTGTGAAGAAGAGATGGCTAGAGTAAAACCTACAGATACCCAGAAAGGAGCCTCTAATGTATACTGCATCACTTTCTGACAACTGCAATTGTACTGATACCAAACTGTATTGGTGGAATACCAGCAACACCAGGAGGTGTTTCTATATATAGGGACAGCTCAAGTCCATGGTACTGCAACATCACCGCCCAAAATATACATACAAACATATATATATAGGTTTAATACAAATAGAATTTGTCATTTAGCTGATTGATGTTATATTTAGCATCTTGACTCGTTTTGTAGATGAACCTTTTTTGTAATTGTTCTGTCCACTCATGAGGTATCAGAATTTGACTGAATTTTTCTCGTTTTTATTATTTTTATACCAAGTTATAATTATTTTTATACAAAGTTATAAATTGAGTTTATGAATTAGTTATTGGTTGATTTTCACTCTTTTTGTGTATGTGCCAAATGATGTGGTTATTTTTCCTTTTAATAATTTTCTTGTCTCCCTATACTCTCTTGTATTCCTTTTCCTTCTTTTATCTTTCAGTTCTTGAGTATAGGAAAATCAACAAAGATTGTAAATATTATTAAAAGCAGGAAAAGTTTGCTTTATGGTAAGAAGGAAATAACTGTTAGCTAACTTTCTTCTTACATGGCAACTTTTTTCTCTTTGTGTGTGTGTGTGTGTGTAATATATATATATATATCTATATACACATACACACCTAATTATAGGTAAAAGTTTGGGTCCACCCTCTGGATTTAATAATTAGTAAGTTTTGTACCTTCTTTTGTTTAATTAACTCCTACTAAGCAAGGAAGCTGAAGTTAGCCTATTAGTGCATGGTGTTCATTTTTTTCTTTTAGAGAGGGGGTTACTTAAGATTTTAAATCTGCCAGCTCGGAGATTGCCATTAGGCAATAAGAACTAAAAGTTTAAAGAAATTTTATGCAATAATGGGTTAATTTCATTATTATTATTGAATATCTGATAAAATACTTCAAGAAAAGAAAGTCTCTTTCACCCAAAACCAGCTAGTAAATTAGTTTTAAAAAGGCATACAACTTTCAATTTTTACATGTTTTTTTTTTTTTTTTTGTAATTTAGGTAGACTTAAACATTTGACCTATAATCTGCACATATGTAAAATGTGTGTGTTGGCAGTATTACATTAATGTTCATAGTATCATCTTTATTTTTCATTGTATGAATCATTGTCAATCAAATTTCTTCACATTTCATCAGGAGCTTATCTCTTCAATTTGTGTCATTAACTCTAGATTAACAACCTAGTAAAATTGCATTAAAAATAAATATGAAAGTAAATAGTTAAAAAAAAAAAAAAATAATGTCTACATTAATGTGCTAAAATTTGCTTGAGTATTTGGAATGAAAAAAAAAAGTTATCATTTCTGAATGCTGTGGGTAGAAGTTAACCTGAGGAAGAAATGTCCAATCAGAATGGATAGACCAAGAGATGATTTCACTCTGATCTGCATATTTCAGACAAAAGAAAAAAAGTGAAATTTAATTTTTTTTTTTTTTTTTTTTTTGCTTCTCATTCAAATTGAAGATGAAGCTATGAGAATTATTTTTGACAAGTTAAAATTGTCATTCAAGTGATCTTTGCTTAACTCTTATTTTTTGTGTTTCTCTCTATTACAATTTGGTTTCTTTATACTAATGAACTGGTTAAGCAGAACTGTGAGTAATATGTTCCAGATTTCCTTCAGAAGTTGCATTCCTGTTTGGTAAGTCTTTTATGTATCAAAAATTTAGATGCCACACCATAAATTTCTATCAAAATAGTTGTACACCAACAAAAATCACTAAAAAAAAAAAGTCCCCTAATAACATGCTTACAAAATGAGATCAGCCAAATGGAGAAAGGAAATTTATTTTTCATGGATTCATTTTGGGATACTGATTTTCAACAATTAATAAATGTTATTCTTATATTCAAATAACAAAATTCTTTTATTTTCTCTGGGACTCTTTTGTAAAATCAGATATAAACCTCAGTATTTAAATTTGTAAATACTTTATATAAAATGCTATCCAAAAGTTAATTTGAACATGAAAAAGAATCTACTTACCCATGCACCTAATTTCTGCTGGATTTGTTAATGTACTTTCCTTCTAATTTGTTTTCTCATCATATAATTTTTATCATATCTATTTCATGATGGGACTAGTGTATCAAATGGGTTTTTATGTATTAACCCAGTATCTAAGCCCAACTATTTGGGTATGGGATGCAAGAGATTTGGGATATATGTTAAGAAATATGGTATTTTCTTTCAACCATTTCCTATGGCTTTTGGTATGCAAGGTTATAATGTTTACCATGATTGTCTTCTTTTAGAATTCATTTTCCTAATGTTTTTACTAAAATTTCTTCATAAATGAAAACATTTTTTTTCTCAGAAATACTTTAGTACACATGAATCTGCATTTGGGTCCTGTGTATTCATAGATGTGTGTTGTAGTGCAATGGATATTGACTTAGGATGAGAAATTGGAGAGCCGAGTTTGTTACATTTACTTATGCAGAGATACCCTTGGGAATGGTGTAAATCCATGTCTTCTCCATCCAGCTATGAGTTGAATAGAAGCAGAACAGACTCGATTCTATAGCCTTGGTTGGCAGCCCGTCTTCTACAAAAAGAAATGGCAACCTACTGTTGGAAAATCTGCCTTGTCAGTCAGGAATCAAGAGACATGATCGCATAAATATGCATCATGTATGGTACTGACTGAATTCATAGAACCCTTTTTTTTTTTCAAATATTTAATGTTTTTAAATGGTGTGGAAATTTAAATTCCTCTTCTATTACATTCTCATAATACTTCATTATGGGGTTCATAATGAGATTTTTTTTTTTTTTTTTAAATATCAGAAAATTATATTCAGGTACATTATACCTTTTCTAAAAGATTGATGAACTAATATTGAGTTTTAAGTTTTCATACCAAATCAACTTCAAAAGAATAAAGTTCAATAACACAAGATACTGCTAATGAATCTTCATCAATTGTGTGTGAATAGTGTTAATATCAGCTGCTGGAATTGTTTTGTATAAATGTCCTTCCAAAAATCAACAATACATATTAGGTGCTGAAAAGTTCTCGGCCCAGCCCACTTTTCAAAATCTGACAAACATCAGTTTTGAAGGGCTGAAAACTTTTCAGCACTCATAAATGAAAATAGATACTTTTAGTGTTTTGCATCCACTCATAACAAAAGAGTTTCTATTCTATTTTTACTTCTGGCGATATGTAAAATAGATACCAGCTATTCAAGTAAATGGTACACTTATGTGATCATAAAAAAAATCAATGCATGATTTTATAAAAAAAGAGTTTTTTTTTTTTTTTATATATATAATCCTTTTCCCAGAAAAATTTACTTTACCTAATTTAATCATGTGATGTAGTTTCCACTCCTTCAATTCTTTTAATAAAAAGGAATTGTCGAACTGCCCAATAACTTCCCTTTTTTTTTTTTTTTTTTTTTATTTAAAAAAAAAAAAATGCAGTTAAATTCATTTGGTTCAGCTGAAAAACCAAATATAAAAATCATTTAAAATATATTACCACTCATCTCTGGAATTAAACATTAAGACATTTTGAAAAATAAACAATCCTTCATTAAAAAAAAAATAAATAACATTTTAGAATTTTTTTTTTTCCAAAGATTTTAATATATTAACAGAAACTAGTTTATTTTACAGAGTTTGATATTTTTTTTGCTTCTCATTGGAGTGAAACAATTTAAAAAAAATCTTAGACAAGACAATCTCATAGATCTTTTCGTACACCAAAACCTGGTCCTGTGGGTGGGGTTGTCAAACAAGTTAGTCCTCCCTTGGGTTCACAGGAAAAACGATGATTTTGGCCACTCCTAAAAGAATATAAATAAAATTTTACATGATTTGTGTTTTCTACACAAATGGTAACAATTTTGAGTTAATTTAATTTTGTTCTTTACTGTTGACAAAAAAAAACACAAAATTCATATCATTTCAAGTGATTCTGTGTTTAATTTATTTCTTTGCTAATACTCTCTCTCTATTCCTTTTTTATCTTTCAGTTCTTGAGTATAGGAAAATCAACACAGATTGTAAATATTATGAAAAGCAGGAATCCTATGACAATAATAAAAGCAATATTAGCTTTTTTCATAAGGTGTAGTGATTGTAGCTATTTACTGCTTGCTCATAAAGTCTATGCTGTAATAACATTTGTGAAGTGGTGATTTTAAAACAGCCCCACTGAACTTAAAGTCAATTTAGGTTTTCTATGGTAAAAATTTTCTATCCCAAGTAAAAATCATCACAAAAATGGCAAAAGTCATTTTGTCACAGCTTATTTTCTCTGAAAAAATGGATTTTCATACTTTTATAGGGGTAAAATATTGAAAAATGACATTTGTCTTCATCTGAACAAATATCAAGGAAACTTTTGATCTGAACCCCATGAAATTAGATATTTTCTGAAAGCAAAGAATACATTCTTTCATTTAAAAGTAAAATTGGCTGGTGTACATGACTCAATTTTTTTTCAAGGGGGTAAAATGTGAAAAAATAGTGAAAATTTTGCATTTATTCTAGTTCAAAACAAAAATTTTCCCCATTAATGGGAAATTATCCATTTTGGGGATGAAATCACAAAGCCTAAATCATAATCAAACAATTTCAGGCATAAAATTGAGTTTTGAAGGAAATCAACATTCCTAGGGGGTCAAAATGCAACAAAGTCCATTGGTAATTTTCAGGGGTTAAAAAAAATTGACACCCAGTCACGGAATTCTTTAGTAAAAGGCTAAAGATTTATCTGCAATTCCTGACCACCAGAAAACAAAATGTTTTGTTCACACCAACTTAAGAAGAAAGGGATGAAGTCTGAATAATATTATTTTGAAGTGAAAATAAATATTTTTTCATAAAAAAAAAAAAAGTGATTTTTCTCAGAAAATTGGGCATAATTTTTTAATGCTAACCGCCGAGTGACATTTTTCACAGCCAAATCAAAGATTAATTACCACTGAATAATTCCATGTGCAAACAATAGCCATCTGGATCCTATCATGTGGCCCGAAAACCTCCAGAAGTTTACTGATTTGATCAAAAACTTGTTGCACATAATTGTATTTTTCATGGTCAGTTTCCATTATTTCATCTTGATATTGTCATTTTTGCACAGCAAAGTCATCAAGGATTCAGGAAAACAGTGGCACAGGTTTGCTTTAAGAATTTTACATTCTATGAGGTGTTTAAAATGTTACTGACGAATGGGATTTTTGGCCAAATATTTTGTTTACGTGCCATGTTGGATTTTCCTATATGACAAAAACAAGGCTTTTAAAAATCCGTGTATATATATAGATAAAATAGTATACAATGAGTGCTTATGATAATAAAAACAGTGTTAGATGTAAAATAACAGAGCTAAAATTTATACTACTAATAAATATACATAGGTACCTATCATTAAAATACATAAAAATGACTAGAATTTAATTAAAGGTCAGGAGAATTATCAAAAACGTGCTCCATAGATCAATAAATAACAATATTCAATAAATATAAATAAATATTCATTAGAATTATAAGTTCATTTATTAACTGAAAATATATATAATTATTGTAAACATTAATTTTAGTGGGTACATATGTATGAGTCGATGTTAATGTTTTTTATTTTCTTAATGAAAATAATGTCAACTGGACTAGATCAAGAAAAATGTGCCTCTTGGCAAGAATCAAATGTGTATTTCCTTTTTCCATCAGGGAAACCACTCTTCTGACAGAAATGTGCCCTCACCAATTAGGTCATAGGACAAATATTATAAGGCAAGGTTCAATTACCTACTTAAGGAATGCATATCATTCTGCTAGCTTTATTTTCATATCTTTATGGGGGGAAAAAAGAGAATACAGGTTCAAATCTGTTGGGATGCACATTTTTATTTAGCAGGACTTCTCAATCTAGGTTGGTTGACATTAATTTAATTGTTTAAGAAAATAAAAAGCAGAGATGTCAACTCAAACACGTGTACCCACTAAAAATAATGTTTATATTAATAAGATAATAAAAATAAAAGATTATATACTGTATATTTTTGCATATAAAGCAACCTTTAAATCTTAAAAAATTATCCCCCAACACACACACAAAAAATAGGGATTGTCTAATACAAGTTACAAAAAGTTAACCATAAATCCTGTGGTGTATCGGCACCAGTAAGTAGGCTAGTATGCTTGCACTATGGATTGTAGTAGGCTAACAACTGCTTCAGTGTAGTAACTACTGATGTAAATATTTCTTGAAACAATTCTCATAATGTTTTACTATAGTTATAAGCTTAATAGACTGAATCAAATAGAAAAACAACTGCCATTATTATACTGTTATGCAAATGACCATATTGTCATAAGCGGTTGTTTGTTGATGTAATTTTGGTAACAGTAAATGGCTATTAGCATTTCATTTGTATGACTTGTAAGAATGAAATAATTATTTTCATAAAGATTAATGCTAATACTTTATATATTTCATTCCTTTTTATTTGATAATGATAAAAGTAAGCAAAACAACATTTGTAATAACAGCAGCTTTATTTTATATTTCTAAGAATCATTATGATAGGCCTAACTGCTATTGGTGGCCTAGCTAACCTACATTTTTGGTCATCTTATACTACGGATATCAGCTAAAATCATGAAAAATTACTTAGATTTTGGGTCTTGTCTTATCTATAGACATCTTATACATGGAAATATACAGTATATGAATTGAAAAAATATGTATTAAATCACAATGATTAAATAAAGATCAAATTGGAAAACATAAATTTAACATGTTCCACTTTTATTTTAGCTTCATTGGAAATTTTTTGGAAAGGAGTTATGGAAGAGAATGTTTCAATATTTCAAATTCTGTGCTGTTTGTTTCCAATGTTCAACTACATTGTGTGTGTGTGTTTGAATTCTAATATACATTTTTTGTGTGTCAGTTCAGTTATGTGCCATGCGTGATACACATGTAGGCGATCATGTATCTTTCAATACATGACTGACAAGGTAGATTTTTGCCCCCTGCAGTAGGCTGCCATCCAAGGCTACAGAACCAGGTCTGTCCTGCTATTTACCCATAGCTGGGAGTTGTGTTTAATTCCTGAAGATGGTAGTGAGAAGAAATGAGAAAGTATGTGTGTATGTATAAAATTTTTAGTTGGACATGATTGCTTTATTGTTGAGGAAAAATCATGTGTCTCAAGAAATATTTTGTGTGTAGCAAGGATGAGTATATGGACGAGTTCTGTTGAATATTATTATCATTATTATAATATAATTTTTGAGTATTGGAAGGTATTTGGTGTGTGTCAGAGAAAGGTGTCTTAGAATGTTTTTTGGTCATGTGATGAACATGATAGAATCATGGAAATGAATGTGTGAAAACTTACGTGACATCATCACCAAGTGTCTGGGCTTCAAGTATGTGTTTTATGAATGTTGGTGATATGAAAAAGTGTGTAATTAATAGATATTTACTTAATAGGATGTGTTCATTTTTTATTAGGGTGATGTTTAGTGGGTTATCTCAATGTAGGTTTTGTTTGTGTTCATAGATGCGGGTTTATATATCACCTGAAGAAGGCCAGTGTGTACAATGGCAGAAACATTGTGAATATGACAATAAAGATGAGGATAACCAAATTAAAGATGCATTTATTTATAAAAAAAAAAAAAGGAAGGATGATAATAATAGAAAACATACAAATATTTATGTACAATCACAATATATATATATATATATATATATATATATATATATATATAAATAAATAAATGGTAAAAATATAGTTTTACAATAAACTATATTTAGGGGGGAAAAAGGGCTCAGTATCACAGATAGAGAGTATGTAAATATAAAACTGGACTCTCAAGTCAACACCAAGCAGCACCAGTCCCTTTCACATTTGAATGCAATCTTCAGGCTTGAAGATTGCATTAAACAAACTGTTGTTTATCTCAGTGTCCAATTCTCTCTCTCTATATATATATATATATATATATATATATATATATATTTACAAGGCTATGATGGGGGACTCAAACCTTGAATAACAACCTTCCTAAAGATGGTGTCTCAATAAAAACACCCAGTGTACTTGGACTGGTGAGTGTCTGAGTTGGGCACCTGGAAGAGTTTCTGGACTTGTAAAAACCTTGCCTCAAATTATTATAAGTCTCAGTATATTGATGGATAGATGTGGAAAGGTAAACAGATCCTGTCCAACAGGACCCACCTTGCTTTGTGCACATTTAATCCCAGTCCTACTCAACAACAAAAAAACATAGTTATGATGATGATTCCAATTTCCAGAATATTACATTCTTCCAATAAAAAGAATTCTGTCACTTGAGCAAAAGAAAACTTTCTGCCTAAAATAGCAGGTATAAAGCTCAGTTCATTGTGCTTCTATCAATACAGAGATATATATATGTCATTACTTACTGTGGCCCAGGCTTAGGTCTCTTTCCAGCAATGATTTCATCAATAATTCTATTCATGTCATCTACAGTTAAATCTTCCTGTAAAATAATTGGTCTATAATTAGTTTACTGTATAGGAAATACAACTCAATATTCCATTATCTTTTTATAATACATAAACAATTCCTTACATGTATTTAAGGCAAAAGAGAATCAACAAAAGCAGTTAAGAGATAATTTAGTTCCCCAACAATTTTTTTCAAAAGAAAAATATAGCAAAACTAGAAGAAAAACAGACAATTATAACATCACATAAGAAATTTAAATATAGTCTCACTTTTCCCCCCAAGTAAATCAAACTAAATGTTTGAACTACTTTTACATTTCAGTAAAGTTAAAACATCAAGTGAAAAGTATCTGTCTATATTAGAGTCATAAGATTAGAGACATTAGATAAAGAATTGGTCAGTATAAGTAGTACCCTACAATGTAACAACTACCCTGGGTATATGGCAGCACCTCCCAAAAACTGGGATAGGTGGGTACAAGAGGACAACCACACTCAGAAAACAGTCTGCCTGCCTTATGTGAAGGGGTTATCAGAAAAAATACAAAGGATCTGTGGTCCATACAACATCAGGACAACCTTCAAAAGCTTGATGACACTTCACAGATATCTCTTCTGAGTAAGGCTCCTCATAGAGGAAAACATGACTATAGACTGTGTATGCTATCCTGTGCAGCTGCGTAAAGAAATAAAAAGGGGAGACAGGCCTTAAGGTAAGGCTTCAAGAACACCAGAAAGCTGTAACACGAGGGGAAGTGGAAAAATCAGGCATGGCTGAACACATATGGAGAGAAAAGGGAGATCACCACCCTCTGTGGGATCAGGTTTAGATCATAGACAAAGAACATCATTGGAAAATTCGTAAGCTGAAGGAGTCAACACATATGCTAGGCCACAAAACTCTGCTGAGCCGACCAAGCTTAGAAATGAATACAGTATGGGAACCAGTAATAAGGAGTGCCAGAGAAAAGCAATAATAACAAAAATTGCAATATGAGCTCTGGTAAAAACATGAAATGATAACAGCAAAATATTGCAATATGAGAACTGGTAAAAAATGGTTGCTGAAGACATTAGGTTTATAATACCCAGAAATTCATGCACAGAGGTCCCCAAGGCACAGTAGATAAAGGTGTTACTTAGATCCAGTGACAGGACCCAAAGAGTGTGAGTTCAATACCTGGTTAAGGCAGTAGAGAACTTGGAGAGGGGAATTGATAACTGACATCCATTAGACATGGCATGTGGAACAAGAACAGACTACCCCAGTGAGCAAAATAAAGGGTTCAGTTCGACATTCCAACCACCTGAAGAAAGCCAGAGCATACAACGGCTGAAACAAAGATGAGGACAATAGTCCAAATAATGTAAATAGTGTCAAGTGAAAAGGTCAAGTCATAAACATTTGAATAAAGCAGCCCTTAACCATTAGCACTCTGTAGGTTACTATTTTCGCCAAGTAAAATGTTAGTCCTACCAATGCAATTTGAATTTCTTGGTTGTGTAGCCATATCCTTCTATAGCAACACCTAAAACAATCTTGACTGAAATTAAGAGCCAGGCTACAGCAATTTCAAATATATGGAACTAATATATAAACACTATATTTTGAGGGGATTCCATATACAGTAAAAGGGGAAGTAATATTTATCAATGATGCAGAGTGCTAGATGTTAATTTAAATATTAAATATAAAATGTCTGATAGCTAGTCAGATGTTAACATTATGTAAGACTATATTTCTTTATATAAAATTTGTGAGTTAAGCTGATCTAAAACAAAATACAAATAAAAACAGCTTTTGAGATTTTGAAAAGAAGTATTTTCAGTATTTTACATTAAATGCACCTAACTAGATAAGGTCATTGAACAGTGAATGTGAGTTTTTGTCTAAAGTTACCTTGGATTCCTGCAATTTTAATAATTATGCTCCTCCTGCTATCCTTTATATTTACAAGAGCTAGATCAGGCCAAAAATGGAATACTGCTCTCATATTTGGGTGGTAGCTGCCTGGACCTCACTATCCAAACTTGATAGAGTTCAAAAACGTCTCTGAGCCCTTGTGGATGACAAATTATTCTCCAACTTCTCCCATAGGCAGGATGTGGCAAGCCTCTAACTGCTCGGACAAATTACATTCCCTGGTTCCACCATGGCAAGGACATACCATGCCACTTACATAGTAGCAAACCATCTATATTCCCTCTGTAATCCATTGGTGAGAAGTAAGTTCCACTTGAACAACCTCTTCCCACAAACCACTACCCTGTGGAACCAACTTCCAACAGGATGCTTCCCCTGATCACTATAATTTTAACCTGTTTAAGTCTAGGGTTAACTGCTATCTTCTCCTCCTATCCACACAAATTGCCTCTTAATGTAACCCTCCACCTCAAGTGGTCCCTGGACCTTGTACTGGTTGAACCTTACTGTAAAAAAAAAAAAAAATTTAAATATTAATGTTGTAACAAATACTTACATAATAATCATCATTAATCTGTACCATAGGTGCATTGACACAAGCTCCAAGACATTCCACTTCTAATAAGGTAAACATATTATCTGAAGTTGTCTCCCCATTACCAATACCTGAAAGACAAAATCATTCATATATCCAGAAATGATGTTCAAAAATGGATCATCTTTATATAAAAAATATCTATAATGAACTATTCTCTTTCATTCTTTAAAATCATCCAGAGACTATTATTTGACAAATTCTAGAAATTAATTCTTGAAAAAGTAAAACCTTTTTTTTTTTAATCAACAAATAAGTTTTGGTAAGAGGTAGTGTGGTTGTTGGATTATGGTAAGTCAAATCAAAGAAGAATATATAGTTTCATCTGAAAAAGGGTGATCTCAACTGTATGAAAAGGGTCTTCCAAAACAGTTTTAGAAGGTTGCAGCATCACTGCTAAGTTCATTGCTGTCAAGTGGCTGAAAAGCACTGGCTACATGCCAGTTTTAACACATATATGCAAATCTTCTCACCAGGTTATTCCCTCAAAATTGCTGTTATATGTGACAGAAAAAGTTGGCTTCAGTTTCATAATGGAGACACATACAATTCATTCATTTAAAAAGTGGCATTGGTAAGTACATACTCCCAACCTTTTATGATTCTAAATCAGTGTTTTCTGCATGGGAGTGGTAGGGACAAGAAAATCTATTTCAGTCAATTATTGTATTTACTTCATATTTAATCAGAAAGATTTTATATCTGAACTTTTCACTTCCTGGGCACCACATGACAATGAACTTTGTTTTCACAAGATTTATCATATGAATAGAATTCATAGCATTCACTTCAAAGTATGATTTTTTTTCTTTCAGTTTCAGTTGAAAAGATATCTTTTTAGATTCTATTTCAATATAAGACGAGAAAAAAAAAATCTTTGATAAAGTTTAACATTCATACCTGCAAACCCCCCCCCCAAAAAAAAAACCGTGTGTCAAAAGGATGATTTTTTTTCTCTTAACATTACTGTATTTTCCCCCAGTAATTTTTATTGTTTCAAAAAGCTATTTTTAGAATTTTAATAAAACCCAAACATGTGAGACTGGATTTTTATGCATTACCTTGACTACCAATGACCTGTTGGGCCACTGACAGTTCAGATTAAATCATTGAAGTTGATTTCAACATTCCATTGAAATGAAAGTTAATTTTATTATGATTCAGTTAAATATTTCAGTTCATTCATGTCATCATTGGTCTGCTTTACAAGTGCATGTTTAACGTTTTACTGATTGTTTACAGCGTTAATAGGAATAGAACTTCATGGGATAATCTTGAACTTTAAATCAGATTAACTTAAAAATATTTTTTAATATGTCAAAAAATACATTTTTAAAATCATATTGACTTGAAAATATTTGTTAAATATGCTAAAAAATATTTTTAAATATTTAAAGTATTGTTTTTTTTAAAGAAAGCTGAGATAAATAATTACTCTACAAACAACGGGACAAAACAGTAAAGTGGGAGCTCTTTGTGTCTGTCATTAACTTAAAAATATTTTAATTAAAAAACTTGTCTATTTGAAGAAAGTTAAAATAAAAATACTGTATAAACAACTCATGAATCATTATGCACTGGATGGATGCACCACACAAGCAGACACACTATCACAGACTTTTAGTATTATATAGATAACAGTGTCAAGAATAGAAACATCCTTTTGACACACTGTTTATTTCGGGTAAAAATGTTTTAGATGAATTTCTATTAGAAGGTGCTGACCAAAGATCATTTTTTTTTTATAAGTACTTCTTGGTTAAGTCAAGAACTGAACTTTTCATAACTACTCCCCCCCACCCCCGTAATTTATTCATGGAATTCTGTTTATTTAGAATTGTAAACTGCATAGATTTTAAACATTTGAAAGAAAAATATTTTTATGAAATATTCTTACCCAATTTCTTTTTCAAGGCATCAAAAATAACATCTGATCCAACCCCTCCCAACATACAAGGTGTTGTGGTACAGATTTGTACAAAGTATTTACCCACAGGCTCCCTGAAAACAGAAAAAAAAACAAATTATACATACTATTTACAATCATACAAAAATTGTCAATGGAAAGAGTGTCTACAAAATTTATAAATGTAAAAGACAATAGGAAAACTGTAATATTAGCCGATGCATTTTGTCCAATGTGGACTTTTTCAAGGCCAAAACGAAATTAATTTATTAAAATATAATTATTAACAACAAAAAATGTCCTTAGCAACTTTGTTTTGTTGTTAATAGTTACTTTGTTCTAATAAATTTATTTCGTTTTTGCCTTGAAAAAGCCCACATTGGATGAAACATGTCAGCTAATATTAGTTTTCCTGTTGTCTTTCACTTTTATAAATATCATCTTTTTCTACAGGTTAACACTGAGAAATTTTTCATATCTACAAAATGTATAAGCAGAAAAACAAGCGAACAATTCCAGAGCAATAGAAGGAAAATATTATTTGTTCACAATGACCACTTTAAAAAAAAAAGAAAGAAGATAAATTTGTCTGTAGCTAAATACTGATTGTAGTAAGTACATTAATAGTTTGTCATTAAATGACAATAAAAGAGTTTGGTTTTTCTCCTCACAACAGAAAGATTAATGAATGGACACATTGAGTCAGTAATATAGTAATATCACTTAGCTTTATTATAAACAGTATAAGATCAAATATGACTATACACCAGAACAAGAACGAATGAATCAACTGAAACACTAAGAGGGTGTGGGAAGTACTGAATAACTCATTTCAAAATCTCACTGAAAATTCATCTTTTTACCTGTTGAACATTGTGTAAAATGTTGCCACTTCATAGACTCTCATCTTTGGCATTCCCAATAGTTTGGCTACTGCATGCATTGCAGAAATGGGGGTCCAGCCTGGTATGAAAATGGAGAATAAAGTGAAGCATTAAAAAGACAAACAAAAAAAAAACAGAGAGGAAGTAAGAGTGATTTATTACTTTTTATTCATTCAAAAGTAACCAATTATTCCTCATAACAACAAACAAACATTGTAATTTATGACAGCTCTTTTTATGTAGAGTAACTGGTTATGTTTAAATGTAATTGACAGAAATGCCCAACAAAATTTACAAAGTTTGCAATAAACAATAACAAGAAAAAGAAAAGAACAGGACAAAAATAACATTGAGCAAACAAGGCAAAGCAACAGTAATAAGGCAAAAAGTTTACAAACTAAGAATGATGTTGACACACAAAAGGGATACAGACAAGCAATCATAGCATTCTGACTTCAAAATAAGAAAGAAAAGAACTAGACTGAGAAGTTGCCTATCTTATTGGCTAAAAAGAAATCCCATCATGCACCTGTATGTTTTCTCTATAAATTCGGGATGGGGGTATGTATTTAATTGTTTAGCAATATATCTAGCAGTTCTTTTGATAATTCACATCATTTGACAAATGTGTATCGGCATTTCATCTTTGTATATTAGATTAATTTAATAAAATAAATTTAAACAAGTAAAAATTTATTTTTTGGTAAATCTGAATCTAAGTTCACTTTGATATTTCTTTTTCTTACAAACAGTACTGAATATAAATTAGAATAATCAAGTGGATTCTGCTCTCTAAATACAACTTCTGTTTTTTGCTAGACAAAATTGAAGATCTCTAATTTAGAAGGGATCCAAAAGGAGGGGGGAATAACAATATGAGAATTAATAATCAATCATATGATTGGAATAAGTGTTCAATATGATTCACTTTAAATATTTGGGGGGTTACAAAGATTTGGTTTTTGCTTCACCAGATTGAAAAAAGTAATATCAATGTTACCTTTTGTAATTTAAACAATTCTTGATAAGTAACATCAATATATTAGCAAATAACATACTAGAATTTTTCATATAATACATAATAACTTTGATTAAATTTTTAAATTTTCATTAAAAGAGTAATACAATCATTTATACAAAATTCTGAAAACTGATAAAAAAATATTATTCATTCTGCAGATGGTAATTTAACTGTAACCAATTTTGACCAAAGTCATGCACGTCTCTCAACATGTCTACTGATCACATGTATCTTTGTTATTCACTGATATTTCTTTTGGTGATTCTCAATAACCAGAACTGAGTAAATATATTACCATTCCAAAAAAATATTCAAATTTATGAAGATTCACTTGTCTAGTTACAAGGATCTGGGATAAAAGATTGTATTAGGTTGTCCCATAAGTTCGTAAACACTTGCAAAAAATTGAATTTTTATGCAATTTTTAATTGTTTTTTTTTTTTTTACTTTATTGTTAATTTTGATAATTTTGAAAAAAATTTATTTCATAAAAATTTTTATTTAATTTTTTTTTTTGCATTTAAATTGTTATAGTGATCTTCATCTTTGTATTCCAGATGGCAAATGATAAAATTGAGCTGCGAGTTTTGATTCGTTACTGCTGGAAACGAGGTCTTTCAACCAGAAAAGCTGCAGAAGAGATTTGTGCTGCCGAAGGTGAAGGAACAATTGCATATGTGGCGATCTCAAAGTGGTATAAGCGTTTCGATTATGGTGACATGAGTCTTGAAGATAAGCCTCATTCGGGACGACTGTTAAATTTGGATGATGGAGACTTGCAAACCGGGTTGGACATTGCGCCTTCATTGAGCACCCGAGAATTGGCTGATGAACTTGGAGTTGGCAAATCGACAGTTCACTGACACTTGAAGCAACTTGATTTTGTTCACAAAAAGCCGCGCCAAGATCCGCACAAACTCACCGAAGCACAAGCAACAGACGAGTTGAAATTTGCCGTCAATTGCTCAGTAATCCATTGGACGAGCGTTTTTGGAAGCGCGTTGTGACATCAGACAAGAAATGGGTCTATCTGGTCCAGCACAATCGAGACAAGCGATGAGTTCAGAAAGGGCAAGAGAGATTGTCGGTTCCAAAACAAGATTGATTGGCAAGAAAGTCATTGTTGTGCGTTTGGTGGAACTTTGAAGGAATCGTGCATTTTGAGTTGGTTCCGAATGGTCGTGCCATCAGTGCCGAACTTTACTGTCAGCAACTGGAGCGGGTCTACAAAAAGTTGAAGCAAAAGTACCCGGTTCTGATCAACCAAAAGCGCACTTTGATGCAGCAGGACAATGCCAAGCCACACACCGCCAGGAAGACCAAACACAAGTTTGAAGAGCTGGACGGCGTCGAGGTTCTGCCTACAGTCCTGACTGTGCTCCATTGGATTACAGCCTTTTCCACTCAATGCAACACTTTCTGAAGGGCCGCCGATTCGACTCGTTTGATGAAGTCGAGGAAGCGTGTCAAGAATTCTTTGATTCGAAACTGGCTGAATGGTACTTTCACCAGATCCGAAAGCTTGCAGATCGATGGCAGAAAGTCTTGGAAAATGATGGTCTTTATTTTGAGGAATAATTTTTGTTGTTTTTGTTATTACTTGGCAAGTAAAATTTCAATTTTTTGCAAGTGTTTACGAACTTTTGGGACAACCTAATATTATAATTTAAAAGAGATTATGACTTACAGATTTGTCTTTACTTATTTGAGAGGAGATACAAAAAAATTAAATATGAAAATCAAAATTCACATAATCAGAACATTACAAATCATTCATTAGCATCAAGTATCAATCACTCCATCTGCCTTAAGGGGCATAGTAAGTTAAACCCACTTTTTCATTTGGTGCTTGTTTGATTCTGTTAATATGGAAACACAAATGTATCAGGAATAATTTTTGTTGTTTTTGTTATTACTTGGCAAGTAAAATTTCAATTTTTTGCAAGTGTTTACGAACTTTTGGGACAACCTAATATTATAATTTAAAAGAGATTATGACTTACAGATTTGTCTTTACTTATTTGAGAGGAGATACAAAAAAATTAAATATGAAAATCAAAATTCACATAATCAGAACATTACAAATCATTCATTAGCATCAAGTATCAATCACTCCATCTGCCTTAAGGGGCATAGTAAGTTAAACCCACTTTTTCATTTGGTGCTTGTTTGATTCTGTTAATATGGAAACACAAATGTATCATTCCAGTATGGTATAAAGCATTCATCACTATGTTTTTAAAGATATATCAATTGAGAGGAAATCTCTGTTTGGAATTTGTGAGGTGGAAAAGGAGATAAAGTCAGCCAGACCAGTGTGTAAGTCATGAAAATTCATATATGCAAACATCACCAAGACCTGTATGAAGCCACAGTGTAGAGTTACAGAAACACAGAATGTACCAAGAAACATTTTAAGGATTACATCAAAGATAACCTGTAAATCAGCTGGGGTCTTATGCTGAGGGACAGTGTTGAATGGTACAGCATCACTCACACAGACAAATAATGCCATCTTGAAATTAAAGCAGGAATATTTACCAATTTGTCTTTGAGCCAAATCCAACAATGGAATAACTGCTGCCCTCTTGTGACTTGCTGGATAGTTAGAAATGATAGCCTCTGCTCTCTAAGAATAAAGAAAATAAGGAAAAAAAATTGAGAAAATGTCAAACAAAAATGAAGGATGAGCAGAAAAAAAAAACAAAAAAAATATCAGGCAAATAATGTTTAAGACATCCATTATAAAAAAACACTTCACTTTTTCTGAAGCAACAAAAATTGGTAATTATATGAAGTGTTATGCAAATTAATTGAAATTTGTTTACATAATTTCTTTTTATTTTAACTATTAAATTTTTTTTTTATAATTTTTAAACAACAGAACAAAAATGTAAAAGCCAATGATTTTGTTGAAACTAGAAATTTGTATAATTTTTTCACTTATTTTACAAATAAAAGACTTTGTTATGAAACTTTCAGAATAATACTAAAAAGACTATTGCCTAAGATAGAAACACTAAACAGGGAAAGATTTAGGGTCACCTAAATATCAACAAACATTCATTTGAAATCTTGAATGTTGGTAGCCAATAGTATGAAGCGTCAAGCAAGCCAGAATTAATTATTGTCTATTTTGTAATATCATTATAGCCGACTATACAACTAAACCAAGTCCCCTGCTGAAAAGAAAAAAAAAACATTCAATTGTCTGTAAAAAATTGAATATTCATTTGTGCAAAAAATCTACAGTAATTTGATTCAGTCTGAAGGTTTTAAAACTTGGATATAGTCAGTTTAAGTATTTCAAATGATTTTTACATTTTAAACCATAATTTATTTCACTTACATAGGAGGTAAACTTTTTTTAGCAAGACTCATTATGTGCTCTCCTCCTAGTATAAAAAGTCATGTATTCAAAATTAAATGAAAAAATACTGTTTGAAATGCAGTAGAAATGATTTCAATTAAGTTTCCTGTAAATAAAAAATGAAATTTTACTCAGAATTTGTAAAACAAAAATAAGCAGCATGTAAAACAAATTTTTTCAGGTTTCACAGTCCTATCAAAGAAAAAAGTATCAATCAACTCCTACCATCATGAACTTAAATTATCAAATAAACAATGTTTATCTTAGGGATAAATTAAAATTTTAAGAACAGATATTGAAATGAATAAAAAAAATTCCATGTTTAAACCTTTAAAAATTGAATTTCTAAAAGAAAATATTTTATTTATTGTTATGGTAATTTACCCATGCCCGTATGGATAAATAGGAGCAGGTACTGCTTTTGGAGAGGGATCAGACAGTCGAACCAAACTTTCTTGCTGTAACACTCTTGTTTGTATATGTTTGTATTACTGTTTCTGTTAATATATTTGTTTAACTCAATTCCTCTCTTTGTGTCTTTATTTCATTTATAAACTCTAATATTTAGCTTAAATTTAAGAAGAAAAATATCAAAATCCAACAATTGATTTTTTTTAACTATTAATTTTTATTTTGCTGGTAGAAGGCCTCCAGCTGTAAAAATTGACTTTTTGCTGAAAAAAATCTTTTAATGTTATAACTTTCATAATCCTGCAAAATGATAGAAAAGAAAAAAAATCTCATCTCATTAAAATGATGCAACTTTGAAGAGGAAATAGATTAATTTTTACTGTATTAAAAATCAATTTTTAACAAAGAGAAATTTTTTTTGCCAATTTCATTTTTATCTGAACATGACCAGAATAAACATAAACAGAATAAAGTAATAACAAAAGACATGAAAAACAAAATAGAAAAAATTGTTCTAGCTAAATACCTATTATGAAATAAATCTTAGATTTTAGTCAGCCAAATTTGATAACTAACCAACTCAATTTCATGTGTTTCATTGACCAATTATCAAATCATATATTTGGAAAAAGAACGTATCCCACCATTTGAACCTACAGTAATTAAAGCTATAAAAATCCAGAAACAAAGTATGCAAACAGTTTGTAACAACCAACAGCTTAGTTTAAGATCCATATTTCAATACTAAATCATCTAAAGATGAATTGATTATCAATTACTGTCTATTAAGTTATTTTGGTGACACAGCTTAGGAACTGACACTTTGCTTTGGATGAAGGAAAAAAAAAATTTCATTTATCAACTATTTACTGAAGGTAAAACACATCTATTTGAGTTCGACCAAAAACATGATGCCATCTTCCTGTTTGATTATCTATTTCAGTGACTCTGAAGAATGGGTTGACTCAAAGAGAATCAAATGATTTTGTCTTTTGTTAAATTCTTATAAATCAAATTGCACAGTCCCTAGAAAAAGAAAAAGGATTTTCACTGATCAAATTTTAAATCTTACTTCCATACTCCCCAATTTTGGTTCATAGAGTTACAATCAATTTAAAATGCATTTGAAATAAATAGAATTATCCAAAAATGTCTGAATACATCACAAGAACATTGAGAAAATGCAAAAAGATTAAATTTAAACAAGAGTGTAAATCATTGTTGAACAGTTAATGGGTTTCAGTTCAAGGCAGAACATTAAAAAAATGCTATTATTTAAAACATTAAGGTTTTGTTTAAGCAAAAAATACAGAGTTCAGTTTGAAACATCCTACCAATTATCTGTTGCAACATACTTGAAAAAGGCCAGAGAGCACACTGACTGAAATTGTAAACAGCAAAGATGAAGATGTTAGTGTAGAAATAAAAAAAAAGAAGAATAATAACATTTGTGTCCATTCAGAAAATTGTTGAATGAGCTGATGTCGTGTGAGAAATTTTGTAATGAAAGCCACTAACTTACCTTCATGTTTTCTGGAGTAAACTCAAACACATCATCCATTTTGTTCTGAGGAGTGTCTCTGTGCTGAAATATCAAATACAAAGATATTAAGCCACAACCAACTAATCTATCATTTGATAAAAACTATAACAAAACTTTACTTTCTTCATGATAGAAAAATTTACATATTTATTTTTATGTATAATTTATCTGGAATACATATTTATGATAAAAAGTAAATTTAATATTTGATTTTAAAAGATGTGCTATTTGAGTTCAAGATAAAATTTAGATACTTGTAAAATTTTCACTTTCAATGTTTTAAAAATATTTTTTAAATATTTCAGCTAACATTAAATCTAATCAAACTAATTAACATATCAGATTGCAGCTGTAATATTCAAATGGCATGAATGACTGAAAAATATCTATTCATTAGATAATTTCATATGAGAATTATTAAAAAAGTTCTGAACATTTTTGTTGGATGCGTTAGCTTTCTTATAAAACTAGGAAACTAATTCAGATTTATGTCTTAATTTCTGTGAAGGTAAGAGCCATACAAAGGTGAGTGGTGTGTAACAAATCTAAAAACAGACAAAACAGATCCCCAAGGAGATATAAATTCTCTGCAAAAGAAAGGTTATGACACCCAAAGAAATCCATGAGGAAATGGTACAGACTCCTCTTCCTATGCAACTGTGAAGAAGTGGGCTGCAGAATTCAAGTGGAGCAGGAACGACATAGAAGATGACCCTCGGTCAGGTCACTCAAAAACCTTAACAACCACTGATGAACAAGTTGATGCCATTCAATGTATGATTTTGGGTGACAGATGTCTTGCTATTTTAACTGAGGTCTTGTGGATGAGTACGATGTGTACCAAGAATGCTGATACCAAAGCAGAAGCTGAAAAGGGTTGACATTTCCAGGATACTTCTAACTCACTTCCAGGCTGATCCTGAGAATTTCCACCACAGATTAGTAAAGATTAAACCTGGGTTCACTTTGAGCCTTAATCAACAGAGCAAACACTCTGGTTCTCAAGTAGGCAGTGTCTGTTGGCAAGGTGATGGCTTCTGTTTTTTGAATTCTGAAGGCATAATCATGATAGATGAACTAGAAAAGGGAAAAACTATTAATGGACAATACTACGCATCAGAATTAAAACAACTGAAGAAGCAATCAAGTCGAGAAGGTGAGGGCAGGTGTGCTCTTTCTCCAGGATAATGTGCCTGTTCACACTCCTCAGGTTGCAGTAGCTAACGCATCCAACTGTGGTTTTGAATTGCTATTCAATCCCCCTTACCCACAAGACTTAGCTCTGACATCTTCCTGTTTCCTAAACTCAAATCCCACCTGTATGGCCACCATTTTGGAAACAATGATGAGATCATATGTCCTGTGGAGGAGTTTTTGGAAGATCATGTTGTCACCTTCTTCTGTGATAAGATTGCAATGCTTAAGCATCATTGGACCAAGTGCATTGATGTCAAGGGAGACTATATTGAAAAATAGTGAAAAACTGTCTTGTTTCTCCAATGCCTTCTGGGTGAGGCTTAGGACTTTTTGAATAACTCTTGTATTTAGCAATATCTTCACAATCCCTTGGTTCTTCAGGAAAAGAAAACAAAGAATTTGGAAGAAAAATTATACTTGATTTTGAACTTTCAGTGGAAAACAAACTTTAGTTACTGGTGAACAAGATCAATACACTAACCACTGAATTTTGGGGTATCCTTTGTAATAAACAACACCTGGGTATGCTTTGTAATGAGAAAATAGTAATAAAGAAATTAAAGAATAATAAAGAAACTGTATATCAAAAATATACATATAGAATACACTATTTACATTATTCGGACTGTCCTCATCTTTGTTGCCATATTTATCACAACGTTTCGGCTATTGTATGTTCAGGCATTCTTCAGGTGGTTAGAATGTCGAACTGAACCCTTTATTTTGCTCGCTGGGGTAGACTGTTCTCGTTCCACATGCCATGTCTAATGGATGTCAGTTATCAGTTATCTTCTGCCTTAACCAGGTACTGAACTCAACTCTTTGAGTACTGTCACTGGATCTAACCAATGCCTTTATCCACTGTGCCATGTGTCCTTGGGGAGATCTGTGTATGAATTTCTAGGTATTATAAACTTAATGTCTTCAGCAACCATTTTTTACCAGTTCTCATATTGCAATTTTTTGCTGTTATCCATTTTTTTACCAGAGCTCATATTGCAATTTTCATTGTTATTATTGCTTTTCTCTGGCACTCCTTATTACTGGTTCCCATACTGTATTCATTTCTAAGCTTGGTCGGCTCAGGAGAGTTTTGTGGCCTAGCATATGTGTTGACTCCTTCAGCTTACGAATTTTCCAATGATGTTCTTTGTCTATGATCTAAACCTGATCCCACAGAGGGTGGTGATCTCCCTTTTCTCTCCATATGTGGTCAGCCATGACTGATTTTTCCACTTCCCCTCATGTTACAGCTTTTTAGTGTTCTTGAAGCCTTACCTTAAGGTGGCGGCCTGTCTCCTATGTGCAAATTGTTGTCCAGCTTTTGAAGGTTGTCTTGATGTTATATGGACCGCAGATCTTTAGTATTTTCTCCGATAATTCCTTCACATAAGGCAGTCAGACTGCTTTATGAGTGTTGTTGTCCTTCTCTTGTATCTGCCTATCCCAGTTTATTGGGGCTGCTGTCGTATACCCAAGGTAGTTGTTATGTTGTAGGGTACTACTTATACTGACCAATTCTTTATCTAGTGTCTCTGGATCGCCCACTTATGACTTTTGCTTGGTGTTGTAAGCAGCAGACGATCCCTTTCTTTATGCTGTATGGATGGTGAGAGTTGAAATTGAGGTACTGTCTGGTGAATGTTGGTTTGAGGACACATGGACAAAGTGGATAAAGGTGTCGGTTAGATCCAGTGACAGGACCCAAAGAGTTGTGAGTTCAATACCTGGTTAATGCAGTAAATTAAGAGGTGAATTAACAGGAGATAACTGACATCCATTAGACATGGCATGTGGAACTAGAACAGTCTACTCCAGCGAGTGAAATAAAGGGTTCAGTTCGACATTCCAACCACCTGAAGAAGGCTGTAGCATTGTGATAAATATGGCAACAAAGATGATCAAAAATAATCCTAATAATGTAAATAACTCATCTCAGAATTATAGACAGATTCATATAGAATATTATAAAAATAGTTATAGATCCTTTTCATATTTTGTTAAACGTGGATATATTTTCTTTCTGAATTCAGATCCTCTTCTTAGGTCTTATGGTTAAATTGTTTCAACTGACTCAATCATTCTTCAGGTACCTGTCATATTTGGTCACATTCAGCATGTTTAATTAAACCCTTTATTCAGAAATAAATATATAAAAGGTATAATTATAAAAAGTATATGTATAAAAGGTTTAGTTTGAAATTCTAACAATATTACCATATGTAACAGGCACCTGAAGAAAACCAGAGGGTACAATGGCTTTAAAATTGTGACTATAACAATCAAGATGAGGATACCAGTTTGGATAAATCAATATATATATATATATATATATATATATATATATATATATATATATATATATATATATATATAATAGGTGCATGTTGTGGAATCTAATTTAAACTTTATAACTAGCAATTTCTCAAAAAAAAAAAATAAGTGAAAAAATCTTGGCAATGTTTCTCTTATACAAATGAACATTATTCTTTTGTGTTATGCAAATTCTTCTTTATGTAAACTAATGTTTTGTATGTAAATTTCTTGTATCAATATACATTTTTTCTTTATAAATTGTGTTGTATTCCGGTGATAGCGACATCATGTAGAGTGACACTGATAGGATTGTTTGGCTCCATTTTTTTTTTTGTTGAATAAAGCCTTTCTTAAAGTTATTGCCATCTTGTCTTCCTGCTATTTTGAATTGTGTTCAAAATTCATAACAGTTTATTCAAAAAAATTCAACATGTCCAAAATATTCAAGCCATATCAACTGGACCAAGATCATAATGCCCTGAATGCTTCTAAGGACTGGAAGCATTGGAAAAGAACTTTGAAAATTTTATTCTGGAATGTAGAGAAGAAGCACCGGACAAGTTCTAATCTCTGATAAATTGTGTTTCATCCGGGACATATGAATACAACAAAGATTGTATAGATTACGAGGAAGCCATACAAACATTGGACCAACTATATATCAAGACTCCTAATGAGATCATCTCTGCCATAAAATTTTTGAATAAAAGAAATTACTTTTAATCTGATGATAGTGATGAACAAGAACATTATTTTAACAAGTGAATAAGAAGTAGATAATGTACAGATCAGTGGTTCCTAAACAGTATGATGAGTCTCATAGGTGTGGCCGAAGAGGATAGCAGGCAAGGCAGAATGATTGATAGACAAAGATTTAGAAACAGTTTTAAAAAAATGCCAAAAATAAATATTTCAAAATTTAAAATATTATGGATTACTTGTTGTAATTGCATACATGAGCCCCAGTATAAATAGTAATAAATAATTATTGTCATATTTTTGCATTATATCAAGTATTAAAAATATAGTAACTAGGGTCTGCAAATTGGGAGAGAGATAATGGAGAAATAATGATAATGTTCAGACTTCGAATCCACAGTTATTTCCTTTTAACCCTCTGTTTTCTATTTGTAAATGTATTTTTTATCACGTAAAATTTGGTTCAGTGTGAGCAAATTTTCTTTCTGAAAATGCAGCCCAGAGAAAAGAAGTTTCAGTATAGACGATATATAGGGATTATTTGGATTTAAAATGGAAAAATACTACAATTTTTAAAATGCTAAAAACTAAATCATTATGCGATTTCAAAAAGTGGTCATGTATTATGATTTGGGAGTAGTTAAGAAAACCACCAGTAACTCAAAATTCTTACAAAATGTTTCAATTTCTAAACATCATTTTAGTTCACATCTAATACACAATATACTGAGGGTCAAAAGTTAGTAAAAGAATTACAAACCACGAAAATGCCATCTCCACATGCAGGGGTCCCTCGATGGAAACCTCGACCAGCAAACTGAATCTGAAAGAAAAGAGATTCTTTTAAGAATTAACCATATTTAAATTCAGAGATTAAAGAATTAACATTGAGGTAGGAATTAATCTTGGGATAATATTTGTTCAGTTGAAGTAGTGGATTTTTTTAAATGAAAATATAGTTTTCTTATGCAATTGTTTTGATTTGTTCAAATATGATCTTCATTTCTTTTGTAAATGTTTCATTTTTGATAAAAGTTAAATTTTAAATTTAGATCAAGTAACTCTAAATGGGGTTTAAATTACAACAGATATGTAAAGCTAAACTAAACTCTGTATGGCATTACATGTTCAATTTACCATGTAAACTTAATGTAAAACAGCACCCTGATTTTCTGCCCATTTTTATGCAAAAGTGAGTCATTTTAAAAACAATAAAAAAATGATTAAGTTGCATTTTCTGTTGGCAGTGGAAGAGAAGATAGATATTTTTGTTGAAAATAGTCAGTTAGGATTAGTGTTTTTTCAATACCATATACAAAAAAGTTTTTAGTTGAAGAGAAAAAGAAAATGCAAGTTTATCTTTTTTAATTTTTTTAGGCTTCTACACATTATTATAATGTATGTTATGGATCAATGTTTCTCAACCTTTTTACCCTTGTGGAACCCTTGAAATAGTTTACATGTCTCAGGGAACCCTGCATAAAAATTATTATATACCATTTTTAATATCTCTTTTATATTTTATTATAATAACCAACAATATTACAAACACGTACAGTAAAATTATAAATATAAAATTAAACAAAAATAACTCAAAAATTCATTAGCCTATTTATCACTGTTTCTCATGGAACCCTAGGGTTCTGGGGAACACTGGTTGAGAAACACTTATGCACTAACAAAAATAACCCTGTTACTTGCATAAAAAACAGTGTACCTAGTTTAAGCATAATAAATAGTATAAATAAGAAAAATTCTTTGTGACTTTTCTATAAATATCTTCATAATAATTGTTCCAATGAGTCTTCCTCTATGGCAACTCAACTTTACAAATTTAAGCACAATGATTAGATTAATGGCAAGGACATCATCACCATTGAAATTCCTAGTTGTAAGTCTAAATTCTATGCTAACAGTTTCTTCTCTTGTACTTCCAGCTTCTTGCTTTCCAGTCAACTTTGTTAAATACTATGTCAATTGTTATCTTCTCTGTTTTTCTCATGTTTTTCACACTCAGTATGCTCTTGTGTTTTAGTAGTTTTATTTCCTTGCTTTGAATAAAAAAATATAAAAGCTTTATATTTACATAATAATTTGAATGCCTCATTGAAAATAAATAATAATGAAAACTTAATTTCTAGAAGAAATAAATGTCACAGTTATTCAAAGCACATAAAAATATATTAGAAAAATAAATTTCTTCATTTTAAAAATCTTCACCCAATCTGGCTATGATTTTTGAAAATATAAATCTATTCTTTTAATTTTTTTTTTATACTTAGACCAAATAAAAAGTTGATAGAAATGAAATACTTTTTGATGAAGATATTTTGATATTCTACATGAAGTAAAAGAAAAAAAAAAAGAATGGGGGAATTGAAAGTTAATATTTTTAAAGAGTACATGGTGTTACTGCACTATTTCACCTTGCCATCCAAATTATCCCTTCAAATATTTCTATCATTTCATTGCATTGGTCAATAAGAAAATATCACTCAACATTGAAAGGCAGAAGAAATATGACTTAAGAAAATTTTGCCGAGTATGTGGCATAGAAAAGCTTCAGTGGCAAGTTAGCTTTTTGGTCTTAAACTTCTAAAACCAAGTAACATTTTGAACTATACAGAACAGATTAAATAAATTACATATACTTTTACCAAATGTGATTCCTTTAGGCTTTACTGACTTATAAAAAGGCTTATCTGTTTCCACTATACATTTAGAAATACCCTGAGAATTAAAAATAGATAACATGCTGTTGTGCAAATTCCATTAGCACCAAATAAATTCCTATAGAAGTTCTTTCAGCATAATTATAACAAGCATAGGAAAAAAAATAAGAGAATATATAATGAACTAGTGGTAAAATGCACATGAAATATTGATAACTATATATCTATTGGATGTGTGAATGGTGTAATGGATAGTGGTGTAGAATTAGAAATTGGCAAACCAAATCCCACTTAAGTTTGGTTACATTCACTTTTACACAAATACCCTTGGGAAAGTTATGAACCCATAGGTTAAATAGCAGGACAGATTGGGCTCTTCAGCCTTGGTTGGCAACCAGTCTAGCAGGATACCTCTAAATTCAAAACCGTATGAAGACCTGGCAAAGTACATATGATGCAGCTAATGAAAAATTGTAGCAATCACATTTGGTAAAAGTATATGTAATTTATTTAATCTGTTCTGTATAGTTCAAAATGTTACTTGGTTTTAGAAGTTTAAGACCAAAAAGCTACAATTTTTTTTTAAGTAAAAAGCATTTTGCTTATTTTGATCCTGGTAGAAATATTAATTTTTCTATTTTTTTTTTTTATCAAATCACTAACTTGTTGATTCCTTTATTAAGTGAATATGATTCCAGGTACAAATATTGCAACAACCTGGATTTATATTTACATGAAATAGTGACATCCACTTTTGTCTCCTGCTTTCAACTTGAAAGTATAAAAAGGCATGTCAATTTCAGTGTTTAATTTGGAAAAAAGAAATGAAAGTAGTTTTGAATGCACAAAAGAATTTGTTTTTATATAGACCATTTTACAATAGGAGACTATTCTATTTAATTAAATTTAAAAATTGACTAAATCTGAATAAACATACTATTAATTAAATGTTAGATGGAATAAAAAGTGTTTTTTGGAGATTCCTAGAGACTAACCTTTTGAAATTTATTCAGAACTTCACTGGCATGCATAAAATGTTTTTGAACTTTTTTAAAGGGAGTCATTTGCTAGAACAACAGCCAAAAGTGATCTTTGTGAATTAACTTGAAGGACTAGAGACATCTCTAAATGACATCTAACAACAAAAAATATTTTAGTGATTTTGACTACCTCCATTAATTTGGTAAACCTAATGTTTAAATGAATTTTCATAAATGAAAAATCTTTCTTGAAGCTTTAATTTTAGATTTGATTGAAAGCTAAAAGGATTAAATTTACTATTTCCAGTAAACAAAAATACTCTGTAGTTTATTTGAAACAGAAATTCTATTGATTCATTTTTGGGAGCAAAAATGGTTGATTAGTGCCCTGTTTTACCCATCTGTCATCACAATGAATTTTTCTTTATTAAAAATTTTTTCCAAAAATAAAATATATTTTTCTGAAACTTTATTTGAGGAATATTAGCTGATTTAAAGTATAATTAATCTGATTTAAAAGAAATATTATTTACTTTAAGTTGAAAATAACAGAGAAATGGATTTTTAAAACAAGCAGTAGTGGCAATTAAGTGCTTGTCAACACCTCATAAATCACTTGAGCGATTTACAAGGTGTTGACATTATTGTTCTACAACTGTATCCGTTAAAAAAAACAATTTAAGAAAATGACAGGTAAATGCTTTTGATATATTTTTCAAGTACTCAATGATAGATATAACGCTAGGGAACCTGCAAGCGGTTGTATCCCTGGAAAGGGATGAATTTGAATGAAACAAAGAGGATATTCTTCAATGGTTATAAGAACTTGCACTGTTGGACAAGGATATAGTCAGGGCTGCTCCACCTGAAGAGATGAGAAGCATCATAACTTACAGTTACACTTACAAGAACAGTGTGCATAAGACTTTGTATAACTTAAATGCCTCCCTTCCAAGACCAAAGATCTACTTCCCTTTGTCAACATCAACTCCTTCTTCGACTTGTCCAACTATGCAAGCTGGTTATGAATCGGCTAAACCTAAAATAACATGTCCTACCTTTGATGGTCTTGACAAAGCTAATAAATTTTCTCTGCAGGATTTTTTAACCCACTTTGAATTTTGTACAGCCGGAGTCAGCAGTGACAGGGAATGACTAATATGCCTCAAGGCCTATGTAAGGGGCTGACCTTTCCATCTCATCCACCATCTTACTGAAAATTATCAAAATTATGACATTGTCTTAAACATCCTTAAGAAAGAGTACTGGGATAAGAAGGCCATTTGTGAGGAGATTTTTTAGAGTCCTATGTGATGATACGGGAATACCTTGCCCAAATCAAGTATGAACTTGATGAGTTAGATTCGGAGTATGGACATGATTTTTGGGTAGAAGGCTCTGGCAATGAATCCCTGGTGGCCCACATCCTGTTTGAAAAAATGCTAAATGAAATAAGGGCTGAACTCATTAGAAGATCAAATACCCCCTACCCACACTTGAGATGCATATTCCAGTACAGCAATGATGTTGTAAGGGCTCTACTTAGAGTGCAACTAACTCAGTCACCTTAGACAGATTCAAATCCACGGTTCAAACCTAGGGCAACCCCCACTTGGACAAAAAATACACCCAAGGGTTCAGTATTGAAAAATTTCCATACCAACATTAATGTTGTTGATTTTGATGTTGATATTGATTGCAAGACATATTCAACTTACAGTGAGCGATTGAAGTGTTGTAGACAGCTTGGATTGTGTAAGTTTTGTATGGTCACCATCCATGATGGTGGAACATGCCCAGGTAATTTTGATATCCCTGCAGATTTTGCAACTCGCATAGACATTTCTCTGCAATGCACCTGGAATTTAAGCCTAAGGAATCAGAAGTAAACACCTGTGATGGCAATAAAACAGACAGTCTGAACATACTACCTATGATGAAGGTAATGATCAGGAAGGGAAACTACTCGGTTTCCATGAATTATCTTGTTGACTCAAGGTAGTCAGAGGTCATATTTCTCCAGGGAGGCTCTGGATCATCTGAAATACAACCCCAAAATGGCGGAGGACATGGAACTGGAGGTTGTTACCTTTGTAGAAAGGAGGTACTGCTGGTTTAAGCAATTAACAGTAGTTATCCAGTTGTACCTGGGAACCTCCCCCCAACTGCCT